TGGGAAATAATCTCCCTCTTTCCTACATACTCTAACTTGAGCCTCACTATCCTCGTAAAAACTCTTCACTGCTTTCAGTAACCTACCTCCTACACCATACACCTGCAACATCTGCCACATTGCCCCCCTATCCACCCTGTCATACGCCTTTTCCAAATCCATAAATGCCACAAAAACCTCTTTAGCCTTATCTAAATACTGTTCACTTATATGTTTCACTGTGAACACCTGGTCCACACACCCCCTACCTTTCCTAAAGCCTCCTTGTTCATCTGCTATCCTATTCCCTGTCTTACTCTTAATTCTTTCAAAAATAACTCTACCATACACTTTACCAGGTATACTCAACAGACTTATCCCCCTATAATTTTTGCATTCTCTTTTGTCCCGTTTGCCTTTATACAAAGGTGTATATAATTGTGTATCTCTCCTGCCTGCATTCCAGGGAGTACAGGTTCAGGAACTTCAAGCACTCCCAGTAATTGAGGTGTTTTATCTCCGTTATGCGTGTCATGAAGGTTCTCTGTACATTTTCTAGGTCAGCAATTTCACCTGCCTTGAAAAGTGCTGTTAGTGTGCGGCAATATTCCAATCTAGATAGAACAAGCGACCTGAAGAGTGTCATCATGGGCTTGGCATCTCTAGTTTTGAAGGTTCTCATTATTCATCCTGTCATTTTTCTAGCAGATGTGATTGATACAATGTTATGGTCCTTGAAGGTGAGATCCTCTGACATAATCCCTCCCAGGTTTTTGACGTTAGTTTTTTGCTCTATTTTGTGGCTGAAATTTGTTTTATACTCTGATGAAGTTTTAATTTCCTCATGTTTACCACATCGGAGTAATTGAAATTTCTCATTGCTGAACTTCATATTGTTTTCTGCAGCCCATTGAAAGATTTGGTTGCTGTCTGCCTGGAGCCTTGCAGTGTCTGCAAAGGAAGACACTGTCATGCATATTCAGGTGTAATCTGCAAAGGAAGACATGGTGCTGTGGCTGACATCCTTGTCTATGTGAGATATGAGGATGAGAAACAAGATGGGAGTGAGTACTGTGCCTTGTGGAACAGAGCTTTTCACTGTAGCCACCTCAGACTTTACTCTGTTGACTACTACTCTTTGTGCTCTGTTTATGAGGAAATTATAGATCCATCTACCAACTTTTCCTGTTATTCCTTTAGCACTATTATGCCATGGTCACACTTGGTAAAGGCTCTTGCAAAGTCTGTGTATATAACATCTGCATTCTTTTTGCCTTCTAGTGCATCTAGAACCTTGTCATAGTGATCCAGTAGTTGGGACAGACAGGAGTGACCTGCTCTAAACCCATGTTGCCCTGGGTTGTGTAACTGATGGGTTTCTAGATGGGTGGCAATCTTGCTTCTTAGGACCCTTTCAAAGATTTTTATGTAATGGGATGTTAGTGCTATCGGTCTATAGTTCTTTGCTATTGCTTTACTGCCCCCTTTGTGGAGTGGGGCTATGTCTGTTGTTTTTAGTAACTGTGGGACGACCCCAGTGTTCATGCTCCTTCTCCATAGAATGTTAAAAGCACATGATAGGGGTTTCTTGCAGTTCTTGATGAATATGGAGTTCCATGAGTCTGGCCTTGGGGCAGAGTGCATGGGCATGTCATTTATTGCCTGTTCAAAGTCATTTGGCATCAGGATAACATCAGATAGGCTTGTGTTTACCAAATTCTGTGGCTCTCTCATAAAAAATTCATTTAGATCTTCGACTCTCAGTCTGGTTAGCGGCTTGCTAAAAACTGAGTCATATTGGGACTTGAGTAGCTCATTCATTTCCTTGCTGTCATCTGTGTAGGACACATCTTGTTTAAGTAGGGGCCCAATACTGGATGTTGTTCTCGACTTTGATTTGGCATAAGAAAAGAAATACTTTGGGTTTCTTTCGATTTCATTTATAGCTTTTAGTTCTTCCCGTGATTCCTGACTCTGATAAGATTCCTTTAGCTTTAGTTCAATGTTTGCTATTTCTCTGACCAGTGTCTCCCTATGCATTTCAGATATATTGGCCTTTTTTAGCCACTCTGTTATTCTTTTCCATCGCCTGTAAAGGGAGCGCCTGTCTTTTTCTATTTTACATCTACTCCTCCTTTTTCTTAGAGGAATAAGCCTTGAGCATACATCGAGTGCCACAAAGTTAATCTGTTCTAGGCATAAGTTGGGGTCTGTGTTGCTTAGTCTATCTTCCCAACTTATATTGTTTAGGACTTGGTTTACTTGGTCCCACTTTATGTTCTTGTTATTGAAGTTGAATTTGGTGAAGGCTCCCTCGTGACTGATCTCATTTGTCGGTCTGGGGCTCCACGCATACATGTCTGAACCTCAATTATGTTGTGACCCAAGTACAGTGGACCCTCGACCAACGATATTAATCTGTTCCTGAGAGCTCATTGTTAATCAAAATTATCGTTAGTTGAGTTAATTTTCCCCATAAGAAATAATGGCAATCAAATTAATCCGTGCAAGACACCCAAAAGTATTAAAAAAAAATTTTACCACATGAAATATTAATTTTAATACACACAAACTGAAGAAGACATGTACAATTACATGACACTTACCTTTATTGAAGATCTGGTGATGATTGATGGGATGGGAGGAGGGGAGAGTGTGGATGGTGTTAGTGTTTAGAAGGGGAATCCCCTTCCATTAGGACTTGAGGTGTCAAGTCCTTTTCCGGGGTTACTTCCCTTCTTCTTTTAATGCCACTAGGACCAGCTTGAGAGTCACTGGACCTCTGTCACACAACATATCTGTCCATAGAGGCCTGTACCTCCCGTTCCTTTATGACATTCCTAAAGTGTTTCACAACATTGTCAGTGTCACAATTAAACACTTGTTCAGGTTTCAATTCTTCACTGTCTATGTACTCCTTGAATTCCTGCACATATTTTTCAGCTGCTTTTTGGTCGGAACTGGCAGCCTCACCATGCCTTATCACACTATGTATGCCACTACGATTCTTAAATCTCTCAAACCAACCTTTGCTGGCCTTAAATTCACTCGCATCACCACTAGTTGCAGGCATTTTTCTAATTAAATCGTCATGCAGCTTCTTAGCCTTTTCACATATGATCGCTTGAGAGATGCTATCTCCTGCTATCTGTTTTTCATTTATCCACACCAATAACAGTCTGTCAACATCTTCTATCACTTGCGATCTCAGTTTCCAAAACATAGTTGCACCTTTGGCAAGAACAGCTTCCTTGATTGCCGTTTTCTTGGCCACAATAGTAGCGATGGTTGATTGGGGTTTTGTGTACAACCTGGCCAGCTCGGAGACACGCACTCCACTTTCATACTAGCAATGATCTCTTTCTTCATATCCATAGTAATTCTCACCCTTTTTGCTGTAGGGTTGGCACTAGAAGCTTTCTTGGGGCCCATGGTGACTTATTTTGCAGGTGCAATCACTAAAAACGCTGTGATAATATGAAATGTTCCGATTGTATGTTTGGATGGGACCGCGGTGGCTGGCTGGCTTGTAAACACTGGCCACAAGTGGACGCGTCTCAAACGGAACGAATCATGTTAGTCAAGTTTTTTAGCGCTAGTCAAGGCAAAATTTTTGTGTTAAAATGTATTGCTAGTTGGATTTAACGTTAGATGATGCCATCGTTGGTTGAGGGTCCACTGTACGTATATTGTATTAGTGCTTTTATTTTTTCTGAAGCCAAATTAGCAGGGATTGAGTATGTTTTGTGCTGTTATAAACAACTATAATCTCTTGTGCACAAGTTTCTTGAAGATTTTGGATAGCAATGGTAAGTTTAATATTGGCCTATAGTTCATTACATCTGTGGGGTCACCACCTTTATGTATTGGTGTAACCATTGCTGTCTTGAGGAGTGTCGGGAAAGTGCTAGTTTCTAGTGACTTGTTAAAAAGTAATGAAATAGCATGAGAAAGGACATGGGCTGCTCACTTGTACAAAAATGGTAGGACGTGAGACGAATTCCCTGAATTATTTTTAAGTGACTTAATAATCGTGGTGACTTCAGTGGGCTCAGTAGGTGCAAGATAGAAGGAGTTTGGGAAATTCCCATTTGCGCGGGCGTTGGTACCTCAGATTTTACTGGTGAGATTAGTTCCTATGATTAAGAAAAAGTTGTTTTATCTTGTTAACTGTATCAATGAGATGCAGTGGTGTTTTGTTCGGCTAAAGACAATTTATTTTATTTATTTATTTATGTCTTTGCAAATAGTACATTGAGATTTTGTATTTACAATAACAGGTTGCAATGTAAAGAGAGCCTCTATTATGCTTAGGCATTATGGGCCGACTTAACATTATTGGCTTACAGACTACTTAACACTAAGAATTATGTCATAGTTGTACAATAGAATATTAATTATATCATAGTTGTACAGTAGATTATTAATTATAAGTGAATCTAATTTATATAAGCCAAAAGATATATTCATATACAATAAGATCACAGTAAACAGGTGATTTCAGAATATGCAAAACAACCACTGTGAAAAAATAGAGAAATTCCAAGCACTTTCGTGACTACTCACATTATCAAGGAACAATGAAAGTAATGCATCAAAGGAAGGCATATAAAGGGTCTAGCCCACACCTAACTATCACATCCCACAACAAAGCAACACCTGACGTGCGACTCATAAGAAAGGGAACACTGCAGCAGGCCTGCTGGCCCAACTAGACAGGTCCTTCGCACAACCCACCAACAAACTATTCTACCCAAGAATTAAGAATTTTAAAATGGAATGGATTAAACTCATAAATCAAGATTCCACTGTATTAGTATTGTGGATATTATTATAATCGTTTTCTCTACCATATTCATAAGCATTAATACACTTCCATATACTACTGTATTGTATAAAATGGAATCGTTTGTTAACTAACCTTGTAATTACCTCTTTAGGAGTAGCATTTATAAAAATTATAAATGTATACCTAATCATGCACGAACATATAATAATTTTATGTTATTAATAAGACTAACCTCCATTGCCCTTGTCTAGGAAAACCATAATATTCATTGCTCCAACTTCTGTGATTCTGTGTTCTGGACCAAACAACCATAGTACTTGATGCAGACCTCGTGCCTCAGCTTGTTTCTGCAATTATTTAAATGGAAAATTATGAATATATTATGGAATTGTATAGAAATGGAGTACATTTGTGAAATGCTGTCTTATCATTTGGCTCATTCATTCCAAGCCTTCAAAGCCTATTGACTAAACAAGGATCATTAAGACTGTTTGTAATCATGACAATGCAAGTTGCTGTACAACTCTTCTGGGTTTAGCACTTGGTTTTGATGATAATACACCACAAGTCCAAGATCCTTTAATATTTTATTTTTTATTAACACATCAGCCATTTCCCACCAAGGCAGGGTGGCCCAAAAAAGAAAAATTTTCATCATTTATTCCATCACTGTCTTGCCAGGGGCATGCTTACACTACAGTTATAAAACTGTAACATTAACACCCCTCCTTCAGAGTGTTGGCACTGTACTTCCCATCTCTAGGAATAAGCCCGGCCTGCCAGTTTACCCGAATCCCTTCATAAATGTTACCTTGCTTACACTCCAACAGCACGTCAAGTTCTAAAAACCATTTATCTCCATGCACTCCTAACATGCTCATGCACACTTGCTGAAAGTCCAAGCCCCTCACACACAAAACCTTTACCCCCTCCCTCCAACCTTTCCTAGGCCGACCCCTACCTCGCCTTCCCTCCACTACAGATTTATACACATTCTATTTCGTTCCATCCTCTATACATGTCCAAACTATCTCAATAACCCCTGCTCCTAATCTCCAAACTATGGATTCTCTGCATTATATGCACACTACACATTGCCCTCAGACATGACATCTCCACTGCCTCCAGCCTTCTCCTTGTTACAACAGTCACAACACATGCCTCACACCCATACAAGTGTGTTGATATTACTATACTCTCATACATTCTCCTCTTTGCATCCATGGATAAAATTCTTTATCTCCATAAACTCCTCAGTGCACCACTCACCTTTTTCCCCCCTCATCACTTCTATGATTCACATCATCCTTCATCATTCCTTCATCTGCTGACATGTCCACTCCCAAATATCTGAACACGTTTACCTCCTCCATACTCTCTCCCTCCAATCTGATATCCAATCTTCCGTTACCTAATTTTTTTTTTTTGTTATCCTCTCCTTCATTCACTTTTAATTTCCTCCTTTTACATACCCTACCAAACTCATCAACCAACCTCTGCAACTTCTCTTCAGAATCCCCAAGAAGCACAGTGTCATCAGCAAAGTGCAACTGTGACAACTCCCGCTTTGTGTTAGATTTATCTTTTAACCCCATACCTCTTTGCCACACTCTAGCATTCACTTCCTTTACAACTCCATCTATAAATATATTGAACAACCATGGTGACATTACACATCCCTATCTAAGGCCTACTTTTACTGCGAAATAATCTCCCACTTACCCACATACTCTAACCTGAGCTCACTATCCTCGTAAAAACTTTTCACCGCTTTCAATAACCTACCTCCTATTCCATACATTTGCAAGATCTGCCACATTACCCCCCTATTATATGCTTTTTCCAATCCATAAATGGTATAAATCCCTCTTTACCCTTATCTATATACTGTTCACCTATATGTTTCACTGCAAACACTTGGTCTACATGCCCCCTACCCTTCCTAAAGCCACCTTGTTCATCTGCTATTCTGCTCTCCATCTTACTCTTAATTCTTTCAATAATAACTCTACCATACACTTTACCAGGTATACTCAACAGACTTATTCCCCTATAATTTTTACACACTTTTTTGTTCCATTTGCCTTCAATGTATGTCAAAGGCCCTAAAATCTGGAACACCCTATCTGAAAACTCTAGAACTGCAGACACATTCATCACCTTCAAAACTACCATTAGCAAACATCTTATCTCCCTGATACACCCTGTCAACTAATTACACAAGTACCACCTGGTGGTTCACACTTACACTCACTCACCCATTTGACCATAAACAGAAATATCAATCTCAATCTTAAAATAATGAATCCTAACTAGTCATAAGTTGGCCTGTGATACTCCAATACTGAAACTATGTATTGTGCCAAAACAAAAGCATTCACATTGCTAAACTCACAAACTAGTATTTAGTCACTTAGCCATAATACCAACTTACCTCATAATTTATAATATTTTAAATTTAAGAATTAATCTAAGTCTACCCGAAATGCCTAGCCATGCTAGGTGTTCTAGTGGTACACTCTGTAATTATTATTTTACTACATGTAAACCACACAATAACCAAATTCTGTAAACTCAGCATTGTAATCCTTATAGAGAATAAACTTTGAATTTGAATTTATACAAAGGAACTATGCATGCTCTCTGCCAGTCCCTAGGCACCTTATCCTATTCCACACATTTATTAAATAAAAACACTAACCACTCCAAAACTATATCCCCACCTGTTTTTAACATTTCTATCTTTATCCAATCAATCCCAGCTGCTTTACCCCCTTTCATTTTACTCACTGCCCCATGCCCCTCCCCCACACTCACACCTGGTTCTTCCTCACTCCTATAAGATGCTATTCCACCTTGCCCTGTACATGAAATCACAGCTTCCCTACCTTCATCAACATTTAACAATTCCTCAAAATATTCCCTCCATCTTCCCGATACTTCTAGCTCTCCATTTAATACCACCTCCTCTCCTATTTTTAACTAACTAATCCATTCTTTCCCTAGGCTTTCTCAACTTATTAATCTCACTCCAAAACTTTTTCCTGTTTTCAACAAAATTTGTTGATAACATCTCACCCAACCTCTTATTTGCTCTCTTTTTACATTGCTTCACCACTCTCTTAACCTCTCTTTATCTGTCCATCTACTCTTCCCTCCTTGCATCACCTCTACTTGTAAAAATCTCTTGTATGCTACTTTTCTTTCTTAACTACTCTCTTTACATCATCCACCAATTGCTCTTTTCTTCCCTCCTGCACCCACTTTCCTATAACCACAAAGTTCTGCTGAACACACTAACACTATATTCTTAAACTTACCCTATACATCTTCTACCGCATTGCCTATACTCTCACTAGCCCATCTGTCCTCCAACAGTGTTTATATCTTACCCCAACTGCCTCCTCCTTTAGTTATAAATTCTTCCTTATCTTTACTTGCTTTTTCCGTTTTCCCTTGTAATCCCATTACCTACTTTACTGTCACTGTAGCTACAACTAAAAAGTGATCTGATATATCTTCGGTCCCTCTATAAACATGTACATCCTGAAGTCTACCCAACAGTCTACCAATATGTAGTCCAACAAACTACTGTGATTATGCCCTACATCATATCTTGTATACTTATTTATCCTCTTCTTAAAATGTGTTACCTATAACCAAGCCCCTTTCTATACAAAGTTCAATCAAATGCTCCCCATTATCATTTACACCTGGCACCCTAAACTTATGTACCACACCCTCTCTCAATGCTTCTCCTACTTTAGCATTTAGATCCCCTACCACAATTACTCTCTCACTTGGCTCAAAAGTTCCTACACACTTACTTAACATCTCCCAAAATCTCTCTCTCCTCCAGGTGCATATACAATTATTATGACCCACTTTTCAAATCCGACCCTTATTTTCATCCACATAATCCTTGAATTTATACATTTATATTCCCTCTTCTCTCTCCATAACTGATTCTTCAACATTATTGCTACCCCTTCCTTAGCTCTAACTCTCTCAGATACTCCTGACTTAATCCCATTTATTTCTCCCCACTGAAACTCGCCTACCTGGAGTTTACCTGGAGAGAGTTTCGGGGGTCAATGCCCCCGCGGCCCGGTCTGGGACCAGGCCTCCTGGTGGATCAGCGCCTGATCAACCAGGCTGTTGCTGCTGGCTGCACGCAAACCAACGTACGAGCCACAGCCCGGCTGATCAGGAACTGACTTTAGGTGCTTGTCCAGTGCCAGCTTGAAGACTGCCAGGGGTCTGTTGGTAATCCCCCTTATGTGTGCTGGGAGGCAGTTGAACAGTCTCGGGCCCCTGACACTTATTGTATGGTCTCTTAACGTGCTAGTGACACCCCTGCTTTCCATTGGGGGGATGGGCATCGTCTGCCAAGGTCTTTTGCTTTCGTAGTGAGTGATTTTTCGTGTGCAAGTTCCGGGATAGTCCTCTAGGATTTTTCCAGGTGTATATAATCATGTATCTCTCCCTCCGCGTTCCAGGGAAATACAGGTTATGAAACCTCAAGCGCTACCGTAATTGAGGTGTTTTATCTCCGTTATGCGCGCTGAAGTTCTTGTACATTTTCTAGGTCGGCTATTGCACCTGCCTTGAAAGGTGCTGTTAGGTGCAGCCAATATTCCAAGCCTAGATAGGTAACAAGGGACCTGAGAGTGTTTCTCATGGGCTTGGCATCCCTTGTTTTGAAGGTTCTCATTATCCATCCTGTCATTTTTCTAGCAGTTGCGATTGATACATTGTTATGGTCCTTGAAGGTGAGATCCTCCGACATTCACTCCCAGGTCTTTGACGTTGGTGTTTCGCTCTATTTGTGGCCAGAATTTTTTTGTACTCTGATGAAGCTTTAATTTCCTCATGTTTACCATATCTGAGTAATTGAAATTTCTTCATGTTGAAACTTCATATTGTTTTCTGCAGCCCACTGAAGATTTGGTTGATGTCCGCCTGGAGCCTTGCAGTGTCTGCAATGGAAGAACACTGTCATGCAGATTCGGGTGTCATCTGCTGTGGCTACATCCGTGTCTATTCGGATATGTGGATGAGGAACAAGATGGGAGCTTGTACGTGCCTTGTGGAACAGGCTTTTCACCGTAGCTGGCTCGGACTTTTACTCTGTTGACGACTACTCTCTGTGTTCTGTTAGTGAGGAAATTATAGATCCATCGACGACTTTTCCTGTTATTCCTTTAGCGCGCATTTTGTGCGCTATTACGCCATGGTCACACTTGTCGAAGGCTTTTGCAAAGTCTGTATATATTACATCTGCATTCTTTTTGTCTTCTAGTGCATTTAGGACCTTGTCGTAGTGATCCAGTAGTTGAGACAGACA